CAGGTCGTCAGCTGATTCATCCCGGCACTGGGACCTGCAACTCATCAGGATGACGTGCAGCTTTCAAAACTTATCAGGACAAACAGTAACATGCAGTCCAGTCTTACTGATAGTTCATTACATAGCAATCTTCTTAATCTGGAAAGTTTCTGAATCAAATGGCCAAAGGTCATTCCCTTTGAGGGAAAATGTGAACTGCTCTTTGGGTGGTGGTTTTTTTTTTTAAATTTCATTTGAATTCTATTCTGCCTTGTTGCTGAAGCAAAAAGCCAGCAGTCACCAAGCTTAACCAAATGGAAGGGCAGCAGTTTTGCAAACAGTTCATGCTGGCCTTTTCTAGGCACTTATCAAAGGACAGCCAGAAGGAATAATTGTCAGGAACTTCAATAAACCAGAACAATAGAGCTGCTACTATAATTTAGTGATCATCAAATACAGTTCATCTTTTTAAACACCACATGCCAAGAACCATTATATTCAAGTCAGCAAGTGATGCCCTAGCTTCTTTCAAATACCATGCATTTTGATTGAAGTCAATTCTTAAGGAAATTAAAACAACTCTCTTTAATTACCTTCCTTTTCTCTACTAAAATTATTTTTTAAAACCCCTCTGATTAGCTGGTTAAAATTTATTAATATTTTTGGTTTTAGTTTTAAGCAAATGAAAAATTTCTTACTTCAAATATGAATTTCCCCTTGATTGTTTGAGTCCAATTTCAATTCAATTTCATGCATTTCTCAGTAGGAGCTGCCATACCAAAATGTTCCCAGAAGAAGCTGCCTCATGAAGTGGTCATTATGATAATAATATCCAGTTCATTTTATTTTATTATTTTATTTATTTTTATTTTATTAAAAAACTTCATACAGCTACCTGTCTTATGCTGAACCCGATCAATAATTAAAACAACATCAATAATAACACATAATACATATACCTATTAAAATCATAAATATAAGAAGCCTGGCACCAAAATTAAGCTTCCACATAAATTAATAGCTCATTGCTAAACTATCCTGGGATTTGTCTGGTTTTTACAGCCACCCAGGGATTCCCAGTGCCTTGACCCATTTCATCAAGCCATTCGGCAGAGGTGATCTCGAAGATTCAAGACGGAACAATGAATTCCCACGCAGTCCATTTTACCCAGGCGACCTGCCCACTGCCATCACCTGCCCAATGCGAGCAGGAAGAAGCAAGGCCGCCTTCGACACGATGAATCTGGGCATCTTCACTTTCTTCTCCTCCCGGCTCTCGACTGTACGCAACCCGCCCTTTCCGACCTGCGCACTTCTCCTCCCGTTCCACCCCTTGCTTCGGCTGGTTTGTCTCCGCAGCCAGCTTCCTAATCTCTAACTGAGGTGATTGGCGGGGCAAGGTGGGCCGTCTCAGTAGGAGACCCAGCTGGGAAATTTGCTGCTGCAGCGCTCAACTGGCCAGTGAGAAAGTGGCACCTTCGTCGTCGGACGCCCAAAACTAACGGCAAAGTTAGCCCACCGGCATGGAAGACACGGCAGGCGTCCCCGCCGAGAGCGCAACTATGAGCTACGACGTGGTCGTGGTTGGGGGAGGCATCTCAGGTCAGTGAGCTTCCGCGGCACCTTCTCTGCTGACCCCGGCGCCCTCTCGCTCCCTGCCTCAATAGGTGGCAAACTTCTCAGTCAAGTTGGACGAGGGGCTCAGGCGACCATAGGCGCTCGCTCCTCTTTCGTTACGTGTTGTTTTGTTTTTGTTTTGCTTTAAATTCTGGTCAGGATGACAACGGAGGATAGATTTCAGGAGGAGATCGCAGGGACAGGATTTCCTTCTGCTGGATTGGCGAGGTTCAGAGACGGTTTGGTGTGGTGGTTAATTGGGAGACCGCGAGCTCCACTCCCACTTTGAGCACAAAGCCACCCGGGGTGACCTAGGCTAGGCACCCTCTTTCAACCCTAGAGTGGAAGCAAGAGCAAACGGTTTCTGAAACCTTGCCAGAAAACAGAAAGGGGGAAAGAAAACAGAAAGTTGCCAGAAAAGGAGCGGGAGAGGGGGGGAGAGACTGCCAAAGTTCTTTCAGATTGAGAGAATACGAAGTGTGAATTGCCTACTGGGCCGTTTGATTTCATTTATCTTTTACCTTGGACTCTTGGACTCTTACATATCTTAAATATATTGTCTTGGTACATTTTTTCCAGGAAAGCTATGAAGCTTGTTTTCTCTTTATCTAAGAAATAGCATATATAAAACTCATTCCTGCAATTTGATGTAGAATATATTACAAAATATGTTTGCTAACATGTATTTCATTACCAGATCTCTTTCTACAAATTCATGTAATATATCCTATGCTCTTCTGGAGTTGTTCCTTTGACTATATGCATGAAACATTCAGGAGAATTACAAATATCATTTAGAAATGTACTGTCAGACCTGAGTAATCTCAGATCTTGAATTCAAAAATATTCAAAAACCATAGTTACAACAAAGAAAAATCCATATGCCATTCAGACTTTGTGAGTTATTTAAATATTTGTTTTCTCTTGCAGTGCTTTGAAAGTTTTTATCAAAGAACTGTTCAAACAAGTGAAATGAATTTCTATTTTATTTGTTTTTTTACCTTAGTTATTTATTAAAAACCAGTGAGATATACTCAGGATATAGACTTCCTTCCTTCCTTCCTTCCCTCCTTCTTCCTTCCTTCCTTCCTTCCATCCATCCATCAAAAAGGATTACTTGTATCAACCCACCCACTTCATATTTAGAATTTTGTCCCTCCCACCCAAAAAGTTCAATAATTTTTATTTTGCCATTTGTACATGTTTAAGGAAAAGTATTCTTTTTAAAAAATATGCTCTTAATTCTAAATAAATAACTGACAGCTGTTTAGAAAGGTATACTCAGAAATTTTATTTCTAAATGACTATTAGAGTGTAAATGTTATCTTTTTAAAAAATTAAACTTTCCCCAACACTTGTGTAGCTAGAACAATGTATTGTGTAAGAACAAAGAGTAAAGCTGCAATATCTTTAATAATACTGAAAATCAATCACAGATTAATTTATATTAAAAAATGGCATTTGCCTAAATTATTATGTGCCATCAAATCAGTCTTAATGACCACATCAATAGATTCCCTCCCCCCATAATGTTCTGTCATAACCTTGTGCTTGAGGTCTTCCAGCACCCAGCACCACTGTATCTAAGTCTATCCACCTTGCTTTTGTGTGTCCTCTTTTTGATTCTTCTGCCTTTTCTAAGAGCTAGATTTTTACACACTATTTCCAAAGTATGGTAATTTGATCCTGGTCATTTGTGCATCTAGTGAAACTCTGGACTAAGTTGGTCATTAATCCATTTGTTTTCTTAGCTATCCACGGTATTTCCAGAAGTCTTCTCAAACACCAAACTTGAAAAATGTCAATACTCTTTAAGTTATTAATGTTTTTTCCTTCAGTTTTAAAATCCTACTCATCTTGTTCCAATCCAGTTTCCCTTAATACACATTCATCATATAGTATATGTTGACTAAGCAAGGAAAATATATAGCTTTGTCTCACTCCTTTGTCAACCTGCAGTCTATTTCACCATTCTCTGTCCTAAGGGTAGCTTCCTGACCTGAGTATAAATTTTGCATGAATACAGTGAGAGTTTGTTAAGCACATCCCACTGACCCCATCAACTGCCCTACACTTCTAGAATCAGTGAAACATGTATTGAGTTCTTTTTGTAAATTTTTGACTTTCTCAAAGATCCAGCATGCATCAGCAATTTTTCTTTCTTTCTTGGCCTTTTCTAAAGTCAACTCAAACATCTGCAGATTAAAATCAGGAAAATTAATACTATTTCAGATATCCCCAAGATAGGGAGAAGTTTCACTTACTTTTCCTCATATGTATCAGTTCATTGAAGGAAATTGCAGTTGGATTAGGTGCTATATTAATACAAAAATCATCCCTATATCCCAGTATTGCATATTTTAAAGGCTAAGAAAGTTGTATTAGAAAAAAGGATCATCTCTATTAATAACAAGTGGGATTGCATTTAGTATGTGGTGCCTTTTCATGGCTCAAATACTTCCCAGTTCTCATGCATTTACTTCATAGTCTCTATAACAGCCTAATAAGGCTATTGCAGATGAAGAGAAAATATAGTTTGTAGCTGAAATGACAATGGAACCTCAGTTCACCTTCTCCACATTGTTCCTTTGACATACCAGTATTCTTAATAAAATTAATTAATTGAAATGATTGTGTGTTTTCTAGTTGGATATTAAATTAAATCTGTCATTTCATAAGTGTATTCCATAGGATACACTCATAGGACGAATCAAGTTGGACAATAGTTTTGAGTCTCCATTGTTCTTAGGAGCATGGTTAGCACAAGTCAATGTTACAATGTTAAGGAGAGGAAAGATTAAAAAAAAATTCATTTTTATTACTGTTGAAGAACTCCTTATATATATCCTAATCACATTCCCTTAGTTCTCTCTCTGCACTTAATAGCCAAAGAACAAGTCCTTGTCTCAGAAAGAGAAGGTTTTAATGAAATTAGTTTTTGATTAATGCTAGTGAAGTGGGATCTGAGTTCAATCATAGACAATTTTAATAATAGTGGAGATGCTGTGATCATTTCTGTGCACTAGAGGTTGGAAACATCAAAAAGAACATTGAATTCATATCTTTCTCAATCAATCTCAGATACATGAACTTTCATCTGTGCTCATAATTATAATTGATTGTCATTCTCATTTGATGAAAATGACTTTGATATTCCAAATGAACCCTATTGCTATAAGGCATCCTGCTGTCAAGGCAAGTAACTACTCAGATTTGCTAGTGACAGTGAGAAATAAAAGTGCTTCCTGCCTTTTTCTTTATTAAAGGCAAAATGCTTAAGGAATAACATAATTATTTTTATTCCAGGAAGTATTGATATGTCTGGTAATGATCATAAGGAACACATTTGCATTTGTCTGATAGATGCCCATTAGTATGAGCAATACTGATAGATGGTTCTCAGGCTAGTTTTAGGAAAAGATTTTGCTTCTGCCCATAGCATAGGAAAATAAATGTTTTTGCTTGGGATATTTTTGGCATGATTTCAAGAGCCAATGTGTCAAATATTGGATGTACTCCAGCAAAATCTGCACCAAAGACTTAAATAAACAGGCTTAAAGTGGACAGTAAAGTGTTTATAACTGGAATCTTATGTATGTTCATCTCATACCAAACCCGTTTGACCTTAGGTAAACTAAGAAAATACTCTCTGGAAGGAAACTGATATTTGCAGAAAGCATATGATTATAGTTTAGTTTAGCTTTAACAATATAGATCTGTGATGGTGAACCTATGGCATGCATGCCACAGGTGGCATGCAGAGGCATTTCTGCCTGCATGCGAGCTGCAGGCAAACTTACCTCACTGCGCATGCGCACACCTCATAGCTGATTTTCGGTGGGTTTGAGGCCTTTTTCAATCTCCCAAAGGCTTGAGGAAGTTTTGTCACTTCCAGTTTTTCCTAAAATACTGGAAGTGATGAAAGGGGACTAGTTTTTGGCCTGCAAAGCCTGCAGAAACCTTCCCGAAGCCTCTGGGAGGCCAAAAAAGGCCTCAAACCAGCCAAAAATCAGCTGTGAGGCGCAGTGCAGAAAAGGGGGTGGCAGTGGATGGCTGGGGGAGGTGGGGATTGTGCATGCATGCGTGGGAGGCATGGAGTGTGTGTGCATTGCCTTCTGGGTGCTGGCACGCGAGCGCAAGCATGCAAGTGCATGCACAATTTTTGGCACAGGAGCCCAAAAAGATTAGCCAGCACTGAGATAGATAGTACTTGTTTAATAACTGTCTTGTCATTTGAAATTACAATGGTGCTAAAAAGTAACATTACAACCAATCTTCCCATTTATGACTGTAACAGAGTTCCTCAGTCATGTGATTGCTATTTGTGTACTTCAAATAGTATGCATTTTCACTTGTGACAAGCACAATGGAAGGTGGACTTAAAATCATAGTGATGTAATTTTCCCTTAACAACTATGTTGCTTAGTGACCACTTTATTGGTTCTAATAGTGGCTGTTCAGCAAGGACTACCTGCAATGTATTTCCTCATTGAAAACCAATAGTCATATTTTCCCACATATTTTCCCACATACTGTATTAATATGGAACATTGTTTTTTTTAACCTGTACAATTGTAAAAAAAAATTGAAGTTTAATAGAGACTTATCAGAGGCAGATAAACAGTTATGAAGATTTTTATTAGTAGTAGCCTTATGACATTTATTGACACTTTAAATATCAATATTATAGTTGTTACAAAATGTAATAAGCAGTTAAAGAAAGAGATTGAAACTATTTATTCTCCTACTTTAAAGATTAGATTTACATTTGTTTTTATTTGATGTTTTCCAGTGTATTTTTTTCTTAGCAATGTTTGTTGCTTCCAGTGTTGTCCACAGAATTGGAAACATGAGTCAGAATTAATTTCATTATAACAACATATATGGGTCTAAACCCTGACTCAAGTATTTAGCAAACCTTATCTTATATCTATGTTTATTTTAAAAAAATGAAAAAGTTTTTTTTACTTTTATAACAAAAACAA